AGTGAGATTAGAAGGCATCTTCCTTGGGATCTGGAAAGAGTGAGGCTTCCCCTCCCTGGTGTCTGACTCTCTCCTCCCTCTCTGCGTCTCCGTGCTCTTTTCTGTGCCCATCACCCCTGGTGCAGGTCCCTCCATCTGTCTCCCTCCGTCTTCTCTGTCTCTGTCTCTAGTAGCCCCTGACTCCCTTCCCACTGGGCTCAGCCTCATCCCTTGGGCTGTTGTTTCTCTTTCCCACTAATCTCTTTCTTACTGTCCACGTGGGGGTGGAAGAGGAACCACGATAGGCTGCATGTCCAGGCTCTGAACAGCCTGGTTCAATCTGTTTTGGACAAATTGGAATCCCTGGCAGGAGGAGTAAGGCGGGCACCAATGTCCACACACACTGTTCCTGGTGGGGATTGGGAGCCTCTCCTGCCATGTCTGTGCTTCTCCATGGTCCCAGCTTCCATGGGGCGGCCCCTGGTGCTGGTTCCAGGAGCATCGACCCCTCCCTATGTGGATCGAGCCTGGTGGTGGCCTCAGCATCCCACCCTTGCTGATCTTGGGGTAGCCAACCTTCTCCTGGTGTGAGTTCTTAACTTGTCCTTGCCTTGGGTTCCTGTGTTGTTTCCTGTTGCTGCTATAGAAAATTATCACAATATGGCAGCAGGAGAGAACACACTGAGCCCTTCCACTTCTGGAGACAGAAATCAGACCCAGTTCTCTTGGGCTAAAATCAGGGCATCTGCAGGGCTGCATTCCCTCTGGAGACTTGGAGGAGAATCAGTTCCCTTGACTTCTCCAGCCCCTAGAGGCCACCTGCATTCATGACTCCTGGCCGTCCTCCACCTTCAGAGCCCGCAGCGGCTGGTGGAGTCTCCCTCCCCCTACGCTGCTCTGATCCCCACTGCCCTCTTCCTCCTCCTCTCGTGTGGGCACTTGTGATGACACTGAGCCCAGCTGGACAGTCCAGGCAGCCTCCCCATCTCAAGGTCAACTCATCAACAACCTGAGCTCCATCTTCCCCTTCAGTCCCCTGTCCTGTAACAGAAATAGTCACAGGCTCCAGGGATGAGAATGTGGCCATCACTCACTGGGGGACAATTATTCTTTCCCCAGTACCTATTTCTCTATTCAATTCCCCTTTATCCCAAGTATAGTCAGGGCCTGAATAATCAGAACCTGATGGACACCCCACCAGAAGCTCTGGGATTCAGGAGGTGGGACAGTGAGAAACCCAGACAGGAGCCCTCTGACCTGTAACTATGATCACCAGGAGGTTGCTGGGTGCTGTCCATTGAATGTGGGAGTGTGGGTGAAAACCCAGTCATCTGTAAGTCCCTGCGTATGCTGGGGTCACGGGTCCCGTGATGAAAATTTTCTAGAATATTCTTTTGTAGAGCTCAGAGGCAGGCATCCAATCTTCCTTGTACAGACTGAAGTTGTTAAACCCACCACCATAGTGACACTGAAGAATTACGGTTTCTCCTTGAGGCACCACAGCGCTGGGCCAGACAGATAGGGAGGGCTCGTCCTGACCACCTGGGGGAGGAGGAGGCATCGCCTCAGAGAGGAAGATGTGGAGCTGCCCCTCCCTCCCTGTGCTCAGGAGATTCTCCCCGCTTCCATGTTCCTAAGGCTCCTGCCACACCTGGGTGCCCAGAGCTACAGGAAGGACCCATCCCATACAGACATGGCATCTTCCTACAACAAACGTGTCAGCTGAGAACTTTGAGCAAGTGCTGAATGAGGGACTTTTAGTAGATTTTAATACTGCAAAATTGCTTACTTAAAACAACACAAGGTAGACACGGGGTGGGGGCATGTCCTTTGTGAATGGAGTATCAGCCACTGCGTGAACCACAGTAAACAACTGAGCCCCCATCAGAGGGCTTAGAATGTGAAGCTCATGGCTGTGGTTCCCCCACCTCTTCTGGTAGAATGACAGCAGCCCCACGGCAGCCCCTACCGTCATGGAAACGCTGGAGGGTGTGAGTTATGCGCTTGTCCTCAGAGGGTCGGCCTTTCCTAGCACTGCTTCCCTCCCCTCCTCTGCCAGGGGAGGGGCACTTCCTCCCTGCACACTCCAGCTTGGAGCACCCCGGTCTCACCCTGGTCCCCACATAGCTTGACTATGGCAAATGTAAGAAAGGCTGGGGAGGGCTAGGTCAGAACTCGGACCCTGGGCTGAGCATCCCAGGGTCCCCTCTTCCTGGTTTCTGAGAGACCCCCCCACAGAACTTCCCTCCTGTTTCAGGAAAATCCTCTTATGTGGGGAGATGGCACCCTAAGGTTTAGGGAAGGACTCATCCTCATATGGCCACGCCCGCTGGACCAAGGAGAACGCTGGAAAGAGAAATCATGACGGATAATCCATCTGCACACAAACCAGGTCTCCCCAGCTGCCCCGAATGGTTCGTGCACCTTGGCAGCCAGGCCCTTGCTGGGATGAAGGTAAACTCAGCCTGGTTGCCCTCAGTTAAGAACAAGGCTCTCGGCTGTGCACTCAGACTCAGACTCCAGGCCCAGATCTCCACCTCTAGGTTCACATCTCCACTGCAAGCTGGTATCTTTACCTCCAGGACCAGATCTCCACCCCAGCACCCCCTCCCTTGATTCCCTCCAGGACTCACTGACACACGCCATGCTGACGACCATGAGCGACATGGTGGTGCCTGTGCAGACCGGCGGCCGCGCCCCAGCTCCCTTCAGCGGCACACAGGATGTTGTGAGGGGTCCTGCTCATGCAGTTTACATGCTGACCACATCATGGGAGGGTGACGTACGCAGGCTCTTTCCACCTTGCATGAGGCCCAGTGGGCGTTCGGTCAAGAGAGGAACATGGCTTCCTGGAAATTGTTCTGGCTACAAGCATCACCTTGCCTCCTTCACCACGACCAACTCAAAACACGTCTCAGATCCAGTCTCTCGTACATGAGATGATTGAATTCTGTGCTGATGTTAAAGACTTTTGATGCATTTTCGTTGTTTGATCTGAGATTCAAGCGTTTCTTCATGTGTAGCATGCAAAATATCTAATAGGTATTATTAACATTTTCAGAGTAATTGTGACAAAAAACCCTTATAATTATTTATGCTGCTGTTTCTAGTATTAAGCCAGAAGCAATTAAAATAATTTAAATTCCCTGTGGAAGATTATGGAGTTATTTACAATCTTAGAATTGTATTTTATCAGCAAAAACAACAACATGTAAATTCTGGATTTTGTAGTTTTATCTAGAATTTGTCTCAGGACCCAAGAGTTCAGAGTGTAAACTAATGGTTTGTTCTCTCTCTTTCTCCCTCCCTCATTTTAAATTTTACAGAAATATCCAGTAACATAATGCTATAGAAAATGAAGTTTCCCCCAGCACTTTGGGAAGCCGAGGTGAGTGGATCACCTGAGGTCAGGAGTTTGACACCAGCCTGACCAACATGGTGAAGCCATGTCTCTGCTAAAAATACAAAAATTAGCCGGGTCTGGTGGCAGGCACCTGTAATGCCAGCTACTCAACAGGCTGAGGCACAAGAATCTCTTGAACCTGGGAGTCGGAGGTTGCAGTGAGCCGAGATTACACCACTACAGTTCAGCCTGGGTGTCAGAACAAGTCTCCGCCTTAAGAAAAAACAAAAAGCATAGTAAATAGCCTATAATAACAAATTAGAGGACTCAGACTGCCAAATTTTAAGGGGTGTTATAAGGTTGCATGAAGTGCAGCATCCTCAAGAGAGTGGACACAGAGAGCCACTGAGCAGGTAACAGTGTGTAAAACACATCCGTGCACACACAGTCCCTTTATAGATGGCAAAGCCTGCTGTGTGCTTTAAGATGGAATAGAATGTCTTCTCAATAAATAACGCTGGACCCCAAAGGGTTACATGCAGGAAAAAATAAATGTAAACTTACTCGGACACTATGTAAACACTTCTCGTTTTTTATCTTGTTATTGTAAATTTTTATGATTTATATTTAAAATTGAGAATAAAAATTATATGCAGTCACCCTCCAGTATTCCTGGGTGACTGGTCCCAGGATCCTCACTCAGATGCCAAAATCTGCAGATGCTCCAGCCTCTTACATGAAATCGCTTAGTGAGTGCAAGTAACCCTGCACATCCTCCTGTGTACGTCAGATCCTCTCTAGGTGACTTATAATTCCTGATACAGGCTACGCACAGCTTCACTTGTGTCCATTCAACATACTTTTGCTTTTTGGAACTTTGGGGATTTTCTTCTCTGAATTTTTTTTGCTTTATAGTTGGTTTGATACACAGCTGTAAATCCCACAGATATGGAGGACCGACTGTACATTTATAGTGTGAAAGATGATGTTGTGATAAGTGTCCTCGTGGAGATGAGACTAACAAGGGCGATGACCCTGCAGATGTTTCGTCTTGGAATTACTCTGTGAGCTTTCCAGGTCTGCAGAGAGTAAGAATAGCACTCGTCCATCTGATTCACGATCCTCGGAACCTCCCATCTGCTGCATAGCTGGGTGTAAATTGGAGTCCCAGAAACAAATCAGGCTCCACCTGCTTCCAGAAGCTCAGAGTCCAGGGCTGTGAACCCAGTGGATGAATATGGGGTTATAGGGACAAGTAATGATAACACCTGAAACTTTAGGCAAAAAAAAAGAGTCACATTACCCAAAGCATGAGGTGAGACATGTTTATTTGAAGAGGAGAGCACTACATTGACATTATCATTTTTTTATTTTATTTTATTTTTTTTATTTTTTTATTTTTTTTGAGACGGAGTTTCACTCATGTTACCCAGGCTGGAGTGCAATGGCGCGATCTCGGCTCACCGCAACCTCCGCCTCCTGGGTTCAGGCAATTCTGCCTCAGCCTCCTGAGTAGCTGGGATTACAGGCACGCACCACCATGCCCAGCTAATTTTTTGTATTTTTAGTAGAGACGGGGTTTCACCATGTTGACCAGGATGGTCTCGATCTCTTGACCTTGTGATCCACCCGCCTCGGCCTCCAAAGTGCTGGGATTACAGGCTTGAGCCACCGCGCCCGGCCCGACATTATTTTTTAAAATTTAATAAGTTTTACTGATGACAGAAGCCTGAAAGATAGTCTGAAGGAAGATGGAACAGCATGAGGGAAGGTGGAACAGCACGTGTCTAAGTGCTGTGTTAAGAGGGAGCCTCTTGTATGTCTGGACTTGTGAGTTCCTCAGTGTGACTACAGCCTCAGGTAGGACCAGGAAGTAAGCCAGTTAGGTTGGAGAGGTGGGCAGGGGTCAAGTGAAATAGAGAATTGTGTGTTAAGCAAAGGAGTGTGTTTTCTGTCCAGCAGGCAGTGAGGACCGCAGATATTTGTAAGCAAGAAAGAGCCACGTTCAGATTCATAGTGTGAGGAAGAGCGATCCCCTAAGACACAGACTTATGCCTTCAGGTCCCAGCTGCTGTTACATTGGAGCTGGCAAGCCTGGTTTGAGTCAGGGCCATTGTCTCCCTAGAGAACCCCCTCAAGGCCTGTCCATGATGTTCACGGACAGGAGACAACTTTCAATCCGGGCTCCGCATTTGGGAGTTCCATGTACATGCTGGTATCTGTTGGGGGTCTCTTGGGCCTCTGAGAAGGGTGAGTGATTTTTCTCTGCGTGAAAACGCAGTGATCCAGCAGTGTGTATGTCACCACCTGAGGGTCTTGTCCATCAGAGTCCTGGAGAGAGGGAAATGTTGAGTGACGGAGGGGCTCACATTCTTCGGGACTATTAGGGAATAAGACTCCATCCCTGAGGCTGGGCCAAGGAGGACCTACCTCCCTGTTCACTGTTCTGTCCACCGCAGGCTCTTGGTCCACTACAGCAGCATCTGTAGGAGACAGAAGTCATCAAAACACCTGGGAGGGCCCTTCTGGGTCCTCATTTCATGTGCAGACACCAACACACAGGGGGAGGCCATGGGTGTCTGAGGCCCCTCAGCTGCCAACAGCTTGACTCACATATTCTATCTCTCTGAGTACAAGGACCCCTCCCATGAAGAGCTCTCAATTCCCATCCCATTGATTCTGAGCTGAGGGCAGGGGCAGGGTGTCCGGTGCTCTCTCTAGAAAGCCCTGCCTCTGTGGCTCCTCCCTTGGGCCAAAGACCATCCTGCCAGTGAGAAACACACACCTGCGTGCTCCCATCCCACTTCCCCACACGGCCCTGAGGTCTCTGGCCTCTGCTTCATGAGACTTACTCTTTCTTTTGGACCACCAGTGATGAAAAAGGAAGAAGATGATGATGAAGAGGATGATGACCCCTGAAGACCCAATCAGAGCGTGCAGGTGTCTGGGGCTACCTGGAGGAAGACGGGAATCCAATAAGAAGCTGACCACAGCAGTTCCTCTTCATGGATTGTCTCCCATCTCTTCATTGCCAGGTAACCATATACAACGTCTTTTTAGTACCAGCACCCCAGTGGCAGGAGACCCAGATTTCTCCTGCTTTCTCAGTTATAGTTCTCAAAATAATCAGAGAATGTGCTGGAGATACCATAGCTCTAGTTTGAATGTCTGGCTCCTCCAAACCTAGATATTTAACTTGCAGTGTGGGAGTTTGTGCCTATTGAGATGTGTTTCGGTCATGAGGGTGGATCTATCATGAATAGATTAATGCAGCCCCCATGAGACAGGGTTAGCAAGTTTTCTGTTAGTTCCCTGAGAGCTGGTTGCTAAAAAGAGCTTGGAGGCTCCACCGCCTGTTCTCGCCCCCTCTCGTGCCCCGTGATCTCTGTGGTCTCTGCACACACAGGTCCCCTTCCTTCTGCCAGAGTGAAAGCGGCCTCAGGTCATCACGAGAAATAGATGCTGGTGCCATGCTTCTTACACAGCCTGTAGAACCGTGAGCCAAACACATCTGTTTTCTTTAGAAGTTACCCAGGCTCAAGTGCTCTTTGATGGCAGCAAAAATGGACTAAGACAGCAACGCCCTGAGATCAGGAGGAACATCTCAGAACAGCCTGGGCTCTCCTCCTGCTCTTCCTAGAGGAGGGTGTGATGCAGTGCTTTAGCTCAGTGCTTCCTGTGGCTCTAGGATACAAAACCCAGGCAGGCTGGTTTTCGGTTCCCACAGCTACACTGCATATGGGGTGACTCCGTCTGTCCTGGGCAGCTTTTCTGAGCCTGGGGGGACTGGCTCGCCCTGAAATGTCGGCTTCTGTTGTCACTTGCTGCTGATCTGTGAGTAATGAACCTGGTGTATGTAATTTATTCTGTCTGTGTTCTGTGTCCCTGGAGTGACTGTCAGTGATAGAAACTGGCATGGCCCCAGGTGCAGTCCAGGAGGCGTTCAGAGTCTTCTCTAGGAAGATGGACTGGGATTGATACACAGTGAACGTGCTTTACAACTTCTACATCCACAACACTCTTGACTCAAACAAATTACATTGTCCAAGAAAAGGAAAAAAAGTGAAATCGAAATCAAAAGAAGTGAAGTTGAACTGTCTTATATCAAACAGCCAGGAAATAGTGCGGAAGCCCATGGGCAACGTGTTACTTTTTGTGATCTCATGAGACATACATTAGGTTTCTGTTCTACCCGAGAGCCAGGGGAAGGACGACCCCTCCATCATCTATTGCTTCAATCCAGCCTGTCCTTCTGTGAATTAGTAGGAAAGGGGACCAGAATAGTGCTTGCACTCATCTCTGAGTCCAAGATCTAAGTTTACTTCAAAGAACATTGATATTTGCCTCTCAATGATCTATCTGTATCTGCACAGGTGATGGCAAGTAAGGGTGAGCTGGGGGGTTAGGGTTAGGGGGCAGGGTTTTCTTTGTTTTTGTGTTTTGTTTTCTTTTGAGACAGAGTCTAGCTCTGTCACCCGGCTGAGGGAAGTGGTGAGATCTTGGCTTACTGCAACGTCCAGCGCTTGGGTTCAAGTGATTTTCCTGCCCCAACCTCCCGATAGCAGGGATTATAGATGGAGGGAGCAAGTTTCACACCATGAACAGAATACTTTATGTATTCCTGATTGTCTAATGGATAAGATAAAGGATCAAAGAAGTAATGATAGATAAATAGAAAAATGATAATCGGAGTTGAGGTGCCTTTGTCATTTGTGTGTGTTGTATTACATTTATGTATTTTTTGTTGTTTTTTTTTGAGGCAGAGGCACACTCTGTCACCTGGGCTGGAGTGCAGTGCTGCAATCTCGGCTCAGTGCAACCTCTGCCTCCTGGGTTGAAGCCATTCTCCTGCTTCAGCCTCCGGAGCAGCCGGGATTACAGGTGTGTGCCACTGTGCTGGGCTAATTTTTGTATTTCTGGTAGAGATGGAGTTTCACCATGTTGGCCAGGCTGGTCTCAAACTCCTGACCTCAAGTGTTCTGTCCTCTCAAAGTGCTGGCTACAGATGTGAGCCACCATTCACACCCTTGTATGTTATGTTATAATAGGTCCCTTCCTTTGTACCACCCCTCATGTATCTATCACTCCTCTGCCAGGTATTGATTTACATGTAGGAAAAATAAATCTCAGAAAGAAATTAATAAATTCAAGATTAAACAACTAGGAATGATCAAATCTAGCCAGACCTCCCTGCAAATGATGGCACCTCACAGACGTATCTTATCTCCATCTACTTCATTCATTTAGTGTCTGAATCAGCACCACATTTCACCGGTGGGGCAGCAACTGTCTTTTCCATGGTCTCCTCACTTCCAGATACTCACCCGTACGTCCCTTATTTTCATATCTGTCACTGTTCATCATCTATGGATTCCTAGTTAGCCCCACAGTGCCCAGCTAATTTTTGTTTTAGTAGAGATGGGCTTCCCCATTTTGGCCAGGGTGGTTTGGAACCCCCATCTCAAATGATCCACCCATCTTGGCCTCTCAAATACTGGGATTACAAGTATGAGCCACTGTACCAAGCCTATAAATGTATTCATGACCACTGGACTTTGAACTTAAAAATGGTAAAGGTGGCCAGGCGCAGTGGCTCATGCCTGTAATCTCAGTACTTTGGGAGGCTGAGGCTGGCAAACCACGAGGTCAGGAGTTCGAGACCAGCCTGACCAACATGGTGAAACCCTATATCTACAATAAATACCAAAATTAGTCAGGCATTCTGGCACATGCCTGTAGTCCCAGCTACTCGGGAGGCTGAGGCAGGAGAATCGTTTCAACCCCAGAGGTGGAGGTTTCAGTGAGCTGAGATCACCATTGCACTCCAGCCTGGGTGACAAAGCAAGACTCTGTCTCAAAAAAAAAATAATAATAAGGTAAGTGTCGTAAATTATGCAGGGATATTTAATCTCAAAATATTTTTCTAAATGAAAAGAAAAGGGCATGGGGTTGCTGGTGATGACGTCTCTCTGTGGGTGAGAGGCCAGGATGGGCTGCTGGGAAAAGGTGAGGTTAAGGGGCTGAGGGAACCTCTGAGCTCCCCAAACTGAGCCCCGTCTCCCCTCCTCTGGGCCTGTCCTGACCTCTCTCTCCATCTGCCTGGGTGCCCGGGGCCCTGAATGCGGGCCTCCATGCGGGCCGTGGAGGAGGGCTTGGAGGTGCCCTGTCTGCCATCCTGCACCCTGACCCCGCCCTCACACCCAGGCTCCGTCTTCTCTCTGCATCTGTCCATGCTTCCCTCCATCAGCAGCAGGAAGTTCCTCAGCTGTGGCTCTAGGATCATCAGACATGGGACAGGTATGGGGTTTCCTCACCTGTGGGGGAGGGGTATGGGTCACTCGGGGCTGACCACTGGTAGGGAGAGTCACGGAAAGAGCCAAAGCATCTGTAGGTCCCTCCGTGGGTGGCAGGGCCCAGAGGGAAGTGGGCCTGGAATGTTCCATTGATCTGCACTGCAGGGAGCCTGAGTTCAGGGGCCTCCCCATCCCTGGATAGATGGTACACGTCAAATGAGCTCCAGGAGCTGCAGGACAAGGTCACGTTCTCTCCTGCCCGAACTGTGGGGCCTGGCTGGGCTGACAGAGAAGGTTTCCCATATAGACCTGGAAGGAGAAGAGGCAGTTTACTCAGGAGGCTCCTCCTTGTCACAGCTCCCTTCACACCTGAGCTGAGAACTCACGCCCCTGCTCTATGAGCTAATGCTGTCTCACCCTCCACCCCGTCTCTCTTCATGTCTGTTTTCTCATTCTACCTTCTCGTCTCTCACCTCACTTCCCCACCCCAGGTATGTTTTCCCTTTTCGTCTTGTTTTATTCTCTCTGAAGTTCCTTGGAGTGGTTGACTTGATCTTCCTTTTTCCTTCATTCTGAGTCTCTCACTTTCTGTCTTGTTCACAACTTTCTGCATATTTCTATTATTTGTCAATCTATCTAGTTATCTATTTGGTATCTATCTACAGATTTTCTCTCATTTAATCAATGTAACATCTATCTATCTTTCAATTCTCTATCAATCAGTCATCTGTTATCTATGTGTCATCTGTCTGTATTCATCATCATCATCTTTATGTATCATTTATCTGTCAATCACTCATGTATATATCTGTGACCTATCTGTATATCTATAACCTATCTATCATCTACCTATTTATCATCTATCTGTCTCTGTCTATCCATCCATCTGTCGTCTGTGTCTCCACCTCCTTGTCTTTCTCTGCCTCTCCATCTCTCTAGTTCTCTCTGGAATCTCTGCAATCCAACCCACATCTCCATCTTTCTCTCTCCTTGTGCCCCTTCCTCAGGGCCCTGATTTTAGGGCATTTCTCTGCTCCCTTCCATCATTCTCTCCACTACTCTGCCCTCTTTTCCCTCTCTTTATGTGTCTGTGAGTCTCTCAGTTCCCTTCCTATGACTCATTCTGTGTGTGTGTGTGTGTGTGTGTGTGTGTGTTTGTGTCTTTACTTTTTGATGTCACCGATTTCTCTCTGTGTCTCTCTATGCGGTTTTGTTCTCAGTACTCTTATACTATGTGGGGTTATTTAGAATATGAGCCTCAGAATCCAGTCTGGGGACCCCAGGTACACACAGCACACAGGGCTGGTGTTCTAGGGCCATGGGATCCTGGGATGATTATGCACGGAAGGCAGAGGCGTCAGAATAAACATGGCATCTGTAGGTGCCACGAGGTCACAGGACCAACTCAGGCCAGATTCATGTGTGACTTTGGGTTCTCCTGGTAGAGAACACTTTGTGGAGGAAATGCAGAAATAAAACTTCTACCCTGTGCCAGGTGTCTGAACAAAGCCAGCATGGAAGGACACCTCTCTCTGGGACATGTCTGTCTGTCTGTGTGTCCCCTTTACCCCTTTCTCTGTTTTCTCACTCCCTGTATGCCCCCCATGTCTGTCCTCTGTTATGATGCGTGGTCTGTACTTGTGTCTCCTGTTTCTCTGTCTGTGTTGGTACAGACTTCACCAAGTCAGTCTCTCTCCATAAGAACCCCACGCTCATCTTTTTCATGAGCACCTGGGACTTCCAAGTCCTGGATCATTCACTCTGTGTCCCAGTGACAATGAGAAGGTTGTCTGGACACTCTCACCTGTGATCACGACGTCCAAGGGGTCACTGGGAGCCGACCACTGATAGGGGGAGTGAGTGACAGAACCGTAGCATCTGTAGGTCCCTGGAAGGCCAGGCGTCATGGGACCTATGGAGAAGTTGGCCTGGGAGGCCCCATCACAGGGCTCTCCAGTGAGGCACAAGGGGTCCTCAGAGATCCCCTCTCTGTGCAGAAGGAAGTGCTCAAACGTGATATCTGACCAACATTGCAGGATGACCGTCTCTCCCAATTTCACCAGGGGACCTGGGAGGGCCAGGAGCGAAGGTTTTCTGTAGACTCCTAGGAAGAGAGGTCGTGAGTTTAGAAGGCATCATCCTTGGGACCTGGAATGAGTGAGGCTTCCCCTCCCCGGTGTCTGACTCTCTCCTCCCTCTCTGCATCTCTGTGCTCTTTTTTGTGCCCATCACCCCTGGTGCAGGTCCCTCCATCTGTCTCCCTCCCTCTTCTCTGTCTCTGTCTCTAGTAGCCCCTGACTCCCTTCCCACTGGGCTCAGCCTCATCCCTTGGGCTGTTGTTTCTGTTTCCCACTAATCTCTTTCTTACTGTCCACGTGGGGGTGGAAGAGGAGCCATGAAAGGCCACATGTACAGGATCTGAACAGCCTGGTTCAATCTGTTTTGGACAAATTGGAATCCCTGGCAGGAGGTATGAACTGATGAATAAGGCGGGCACCAGTGTCCACACACCCTGTTCCTGGGGGTATTGGGAGCCTCTCCTGCCATGTCTGTGCTCCTCCATGGTCCCAGCTTCCATGGGGCGGCCCCTGGTGCTGGTTTCAGGAGCATCGATCCCTCCCTATGTGGATCGAACCTGGTGGTGGCCTCAGCATCCCCCCCACTTGCTGATCTCAGTGAAGACAACCTTCTTGTTTGGCTTCTTAACTTGTCCTTCCCTGGGTTCCTGTGTTTGTCTCCTGTTGCTGCTGTAGAAAATTATCACAACATGGCAGCAGGAGAGAACACAATGAGCCCTTCCACTTCTGGAGACAGAAATCGGACCCAGTTCTCCCTAGGCTAAAATCAGAGTGTCTGCAGGGCTGTGTTCCCTCTGGAGACTCGGGGAGAATCAGGTTCCTTGACTTCTCCATCCCCTCAAGGCCACCTGCATTCATGGCTCCTGGCCTTCTTCCACCTTCAGAGCCCACAGTGGCTGGTGGAGTCTCCCTCCCACTACACTGCTGCAATCCCCACTGCCTTCTTCCTCCTCCTCTCGTGTGGGCACTTGTGATGACACTGAGCCCAGCTGGACAGTCCAGGCAGCCTCCCCATCTCAAGGTCAACTCATCAACAACCTGAGCTCCATCTTCCCCTTCAGTCCCCTGCCCCGTAACAGAAATAGTCACAGGCTCCAGGGATGAGAATGTGGCCATCACTGGGGACAGTTATTCTTCCCACCACTGCACCCACTTCCCTGTATTCAATCCCCTTTACCCCAAATACAGTCAGGGCCTGGGTGATCGGACCCTGACGGACACCCCAGCAGAAGCTCTGGGATTCAGGAGGTGGGACAGTGAGAAGCCCAGACAGGAACCCTCTGACCTGTGACTATGACCTTCAGGAGGTTGCTGGGTGCTGTCCATCCAGTAGGGGAGAGTGGGTAAAAACCCCGACATCTGTAGGTCCCTGCGTGTGCTGCAGTCACGGGGCCCATGAGGAAGCTATTCCTGAATATTCTGTTGTGGAGCTCGTGGACAGGCACCCCATCTTCCTTGTACAGACTGAAGTTGTTAAACCCAAGATGAGAGTGACACTGAAGAGTCACATGTTGTTGTTGAGGTACCACAGCACTGGGCCAGGCTGACAGGGAGGGCTTGTCCTGACCACCTTGGAGAGAAGGAGTCACCGTCTTAGATAGGAAGATATGGAGCCTCCATCCCTGTGCTCAGAAGATTCTCCCCCTTTCCACGGCTGCCCAGGAAGGACCCATCCCGCATAGACATGGCGTCTCCCTACAGCAAAAGTGTCAGCTGAGAACCTTGAGCAAGTGCTGAGTAAGGGACTCTTACTAGATTTTAATACTACCAGATTATTTACATAAAACGACACAAAGTTGACACACGTGGAGGGTACGATCTTTGTGAATGGGATATCAGCTAATGCGTGAACTACAGTAAGCGACTGAGCCCCCATTAGAAGATCTGGAATGTCAGGTCGTGGCTGTGCTTCCTGCACCTCTTCTGGTAGAATGACGGCAGCCCTACCATCATGGAAACGCTGGAAGGTGTGAGTTACCCTGTTGTCTTCAGAGGCCTGTGGCTCCTAGCACTGCTTGCCTCTCCTCCTCTGCTCATGACACCACCTCCTCTCCGCACACCCCAGCTGGGAGCATCCCAGTCTTCTCCAGGTCCCCACAGACTCAGCCAAGGGAAAGCAATGCTGGGGAGGGCTGGGACAGGACGGCAGGCCAAGCTTCCGTGGGCTTCCTTTTCCTTGTTCTCAAGAGATTTCCACAGGGCTTCCCATGGTCAGCCCATCAGTCAGTACCCTATGCTGCCTGCCTCCCATTTCAGGAAAATCGTTTTATGTGAGGAGATGACAACCTAGGAATTGAGAAGGACTCACCCACGAGTGGACAGGCCCTCTGAACCAAGAAGAACCCTGGAAAGAAAGATCACGATGGACGATTCATCTACACGTTACTTCCAGGCCCATACCTCCACCTCCAGCCTGTTTCTCCATCTCCAGGTACATATCCCCACTCCAGGCCCATACCCCTACTCCAGGTCCATATCTCCACCTCTAACCCGTATCTCCATCTCCAGGTTCACATCCCCACTGCAGGCCCATATCTTCACCCCAGTCCCATATCTCCACTCCATGCCCATACCTCCACACCAGACCCAGATCTCCACTCCAGGCCCAGATCTCCACCTCATGCCTGTATCTCTACACCAGGCCCGTATCTCCACCCCAGGCCTGTATCTCCACCCCAGGCCCAGATCTCCACCTCATGCCTGTATCTCCACCCCAGGCCCAGATCTCCACCCCAGGCCCAGATCTCCACCCCAGGCCCAGATCTCCACCCCAGGCCCAGATCTCCACCCCAGGCCCAGATCTCCACCTCATGCCTGTATCTCCACCCCAGGCCCGTATCTCCACCTCAGGCCCATATCCCCACCCCAGGCCCGTATCTCCAAATCAGGCCCCTATCTCCACACCAGGCCCGACCCAGATCTCCACTCCAGGCCCAGATGTCCACCCCAGGCCCAGATGTCCACCCCAGGCCCGACCCAGATCTCCACCTCATGCCTGTATTTCCACACCAGGCCCGTATCTCCACCCCAGGCCTGTATCTCCACTCCAGGCCCGTATCTCCACCCCAGGCCCAGATCTCCACTTCATGCCTGTATCTCCACCCCCGGCCCGTATCCCCACCCCAGGCCCGTATCCCCACCCCAGGCCCGTATCTCCACTCCATATCAGGCCCAACCCAGATCTCCACTCCAGGCCCAGATCTCCACCCCAGGCCCGTTTCCCCACCCTAGGTCTGTATCTCCACCCCAGACCCTGATCTCCACCCCAGACCCTGATCTCCACCCCAGGCCCATATCTCCACCCCAGGTCCAGATCTGCACCCCAGGCCCTATCTCCACACCAGGCCCATATCTCCACTCCAGGTCCAGATCTCCACCCCATTGCCCCCTCCCTCAATTCCCTCCGGGACTCACCGACACACGCCATGCTGACGACCATGAGTGACATGGTGCTGCCTGTGCAGACCGGCGGCTGCGCCCCAGCTCCCTTTAGCAGCGCACAGGATGTTGTGAGGGGCCCTGCTCATGCAGTTTACATGCTGACCACATCATGGGAGGGTGACGTACGCAGGCTCTTTCCACCTTGCATGAGGCCCAGTGGGCGTTCTTTCAAGAGAGGAACATGGCTTCCTGGAAATTGTTCTGACCAGAATCATCACGGTGCATCCTTCACTATGACCAACTCAGAGCACGTCTCCGATCCAATCGCTCATACGTGAGATGATTGAATTCTGTGCTGACGTTAAAGACTTTTGATGTATTTTTGTTGTTTGTATCTGAGATTCAGACTCTTCTTCATGTGTAATATGCAAAATACCTAATAGGTATTATTAACATTATTAGAGTAATTGTAACAAGAATCATTAAAAATGTTCATACTTGTATTTCTAGTATTACGGCAGAACCAGTTAAAATTGTTTAAATTCCCAGTGAAGGATTATGCAGTTATTTACAATCTTAGAATTCTACTTTATTAGCAAAAAACAAAACATGTGAATTGTGGATATTGCAGTTTTATCTAGAATTCATCTCGTGACCCAAGAGCCCAGAGTCTAAACTAATAAGTAGCTCTCTTTCTCTCCTTCATTTTAAACTTCACAGAAATATCCAGTAACATAATGCTATGGAAATCAACTTTCCAACGGCTAATTTTGAGTGTCAGAAAGAAAACTCCAGAACATTTTTTAAAATTTTCGATATTTTATTTTTTATTAACACATAATTTTACATATTTATGGGGTACATATTTTGATATGTACAATGTATAGTGATCAGATAAGGATAATTAGAACATTTTAAGAAAAAATAAACTGATAACATCCTCCAACTGGGATTCCAGATCACTGCAGTTACTGAGTCACCACATCTGCCCATCTGTTCTGCTGTCATTCTGATCCCCATGTGAACCCTACTTTTCTGAAATTTGTAAGAATTTTTTCATTATATGCTGTGAATTTGTAAAACCCATCATTTATCTTTTTTTTTTTTTTTTTTTTTTTTTTTTGAGACGGAGTTTCACTCATGTTACCCAGGCTGGAGTGCAATGGCACGATCTCGGCTCACCGCAACCTCCGCCTCCCGGGTTCAGGCAATTCTCCTGCCTCAGCCTCCTGAGTAGCTGGGATTACAGGCACACGCCACCATGCCCAGCTAATTTTTTGTAGTTTTAGTGGAGACGGGGTTTCACCATGTTGACCAGGATGGTCTCGATCTCTTGACCTCGTGATCCACCCGCCTCGGCCTCCCAAAGTGCTGGGATTACAGGCGTGAGCCACCGCGCCCGGCCCCATCATTTATCTTTAAGTCATGGGGCCTTGCGACGTTGCCCAGGCTGGTCTTTGAGGTCAGAGTGAAAGCAATCCTCCTGGCCCGGCATTCCTAGCAGCTGGCTCTATGTCACTGTCTGCCACACCCACGTCATAACTTTTATGAAAGAGTCTCTGTATCCACTCTCATGAAGATGCAGCATTTTATGTAATTTTGTAGAGCCCCTTAAAATTTGTTAGCCTGAGTTGTCTAATTTATTGTTATAGGTTATTTAGTTTGCTTTTTTTTTCTTGAGACAGAGACTTGCTCTGTCACCCAGGCTGGAGTGCAGTGGCAGGAGGTCAGCCCACTGCAACCTCAGCTTCCCAGGTTCAAGCGATTCTCGTGCCTCAGCCTCTTGAGTAGCTGGGCGTACAGGTGCCACCACCAGGCCCAGCTAACTTTTGTGTTTTTAGCAGAGACAGCGTTTCACCTGGTCCTGAACTCTGACCTGAAGTGATCCACCCACCTCAGTCTCCCAAAGTGCTCGGGAAAACTTGATTTTTTAATATCTTTATTATTGGATATTTCCGTAAAATTTTAAATGAGGGAAAGAGAGAGAGCCATTAGCTTGGACTCTGGACTCTTCGGTCATGAGACAAAGTCTAGATAAAACTACAGGATCCGGAGTTTACATGTTGTGTTTTTTGCTAATAAAACAGGACTCTGCGATTGTAAATAACTGTATAATTCTTCACTGGGAATTTAAATAATTTTAACTGCTTCTGGCTTAATAATAGAAATTCACCATGAAAAATTATAATGACATTTTGTCACAATTACTCTGATAATGTTAATAATACCGGTTAGATATTTTGCATATTACACATGAAGAAGAGTTTGAATCTCAGACAAAAACAAAAATACACCAAAAGTCTTTCACATAAGCACAGATTTTAATCATCTCATGTATGAGCGATTGGATCTGAGGTGTGTTCTGAGTTGGTCGTAGTGAAGGATGCAACATGATGATTATAGTCAGAACAATTTCCAGGAAGCCGTGTTCCTCTCTTGACCCAACGCCCACTGGGCCTCATGCAAGGTGGAAAGAGCCTGTGTACGTCACCGTCCCATGATGTGGTCAGCATGTAAACTGCATGAGCAGGACCCCTCACAGCATCCTGTGTGCCGCTGAAGGGAGCTGGGGCGCGGCTGCCGGTCTGCACAGGCAGCACCATGTCGCTCATGGTCCTCAGCATGGCGTGTGTCGGTGAGTCCTGGAAGGGAATCAAGTGGGGGAGTGCTGGGGTGGAGATATCAGCCTGGAGGTAAAGAGATGTGAGCTGGTGATGGAGATATGGGCCTGGAGGTAAAGACATGGGCCTGGAGTAGAGATTGGGGCCTGCAGGTGGGGATCTGGGCCTGGAGGCTGGGTCTCTGCACAGCTGAAAGCCCTGTTCCTGGGCAGGTGGGCAATGAGGCTGAGTTTAGCTTCTGCCCAGCAAGGTCCTGGCTGCCAATGCACACAGCCCTGTTGGGGCAACATGGGAGGCCTGGTGTGTATGCAGATGGATTGTCCATCATGATCTTTCTTTCCAGGGTTCTTCTTGGTCCAGAGGGCCTGGCCACGTGAGAGTGAGTCCTTCCCCAAACCTTAGGGTGTCATCTCCCCACGTAAAAGGATTTTCCTGAAATGGGAGGAAAGCCCTGTGGGAGTCTCACATAAACTAGGAAAAGGGGACCCTGGGGTGCTCGGGCCACAGTTCTGGCCTAGCCCTCCCTGGCCTTTCATTCCCTTGGCTGAGTCAAGCTCTGTGGGGACCTGGGGTGCTCCAAGCTGGGGTGTGAGGGTAGGAAGTCATGTCACTGGCAGAAGAAGGGAAGGAAGCAGTGCTAGGAAAGGCCGACCCTCTGAGGACAAGAGGGTAACTCACACCCTCCAGCGTTTCCATGACGGTAGGGGCTGCCGTGTGGCTGCTGGTATTCTACCAGAAGAGGTGGGGGAACCACAGCCATGACCTGACATTCCAATCTTCTAATGGGGGCTCAGCTGTTTATCGTGAGTCATGCACTGGCTAATATTCCATTCACAAAGGACTTGCCCCCAGCCTGTGCTTACCTTGTGTTGTTGTGTGTAACTAATCTTGCAGGAGTGAATAGCAGTAAGTGTTCCTCATTCAGCACTTGCTCAAATTTCTCTGCTGACATGTTTGTTGTAGGGAGACGCCATGTCTATGCGGGATGGGTCCTTCCTGTAGCTCTGGGCACCCAGGTGTGGCAGGAGCCTTAGGAATGTGGAAAGGAGGAGAATCCCCTGAGCACAGGGAGGGAGGGGCGGCTCCACATCTTGCTGTCTAAGGTGATGCCTCCTTCTCCCCCAGGTGGTCGGGACAAGCCCTTCCTGTCTGCCTGGCCCAGCGTGTCTAAGGCGATGCCTCCTCCTCCCCCAGGTGGTCGGGACAAGCCC